TCCATGTGGGTGCTGGGATTCGAACCCGGATCTTCTGCAAGACAGTCAGTGCTCTTAACTGCTGAGCCATCTCTCCAGCCCTATTTTATTTTATTTATATTTTATTATTTATTTTTATGTTATTTATTTTATTTTATTATTTTATTTTATAGACAGTGCTTTACTACATAGCCCTGGCTAGCCTGGAACCCACTATGAAGACCACACTGGTCTTTAAACTTCCAGAAATCCACCTGCCTATGCTTCCTGAGTGTATGTATATTTTTAGGCTTCTTAATTTTTTTGAGATAGTCACATGTAGCTCAGGCTGGCATCTAACTTCCTACGTAGCTGAGAATGACTCTAAATGGGTCATCTTCCTGCTGCTATCTCCAAGTGCTGGGATTACAGTCATGTGCTACCTACCATGTCATACTTTCAAAGTTTTATTTTGTTTTGTTTGTTTGTTTGGCTACTAGAGATTAAACCTATGGCTCATGTGTGTTAGACAAGTATTCTTCTACCACTAAGCTATATCCATATCCCCACCTTTAAAAATTATTTTTAGAGCTGGGCTTGGTGGCACACTCCTTTAATCCCAGCACTTGGGAGACAGAGGCAGGCGGATCTCTGGGAGTTTGAGGCCAGCCTGGTCTACATGGTGAGTTCCACGACAGCTGGGGCTACAGGGAGACCATGTCTCAAAAAGACCAAAAAAAAAAATTATTTTTAGAATTTTAAATTTTGAGACAGGGTCTTGCTAAATTGCCAAGGCTAGCCTTGAACTCGCCTCAGCTTCCTTACAGGGATTACAGGCCTATGCCACGAGGCCCAAGGAGGTTATTCAACTTTAAATTTTTTTGTCTTTTTGAAGCAGTGTCTCCCTGTAGCCCCAGCTGTCCTGGAACTCACTATGTAGACTAGGCTGGCCTTGAACTCACAGAGATCCACCTGCCTCTGCTTCCCGAGTGCTGGGATTAAGGCATGCACCACCACACCTGGCTCAACTTTAAATTTTTAGTATTTTATTTACTATTTTTATTTTATGTGTATGCGTGTATTGTAGGTAAGTGCACCCATGTCATGCAATGCCTGCGGAGGACAGAAGAGGCTGTTGGATCTCCTGGGACTGGAGTTACAGACAGTTGTTAGCTGCTATATGGGTGCTGGGATTCGAACCCGAGTCTTCGGCAAGAACAACCAGTGTTCTTAACCACTGAGCCATCTCTCCAGCCTAGCTTTAAATTTTTTTAAAGTTGAGTATAATGGCACAAACCAGGAATCCTAGGACTTTGGAGGCAGAGGGAGAAGTGCTACAAATTCAAGGCCAGTCTGGGATACATAAAAAAACCTCTATCTTAAAATTTATCTATGTGTCTATCTAATCTATCTATCTATCTATCTATCTATCTATCTATCTATCTATCTATCTATCTATCTATCTATCTATCATCTATCTAACTATCATCTATCATCTATTTTTGAGATAGGGTCTCCCTGTGGCTGCAGCTGGTCTAGAATTCACTATGTAGAACAGGATAGCCTCAATCTCACAGAGATCTGCCTGCTTCTGCCTCTTGAGTGCTGAAATTAAAGGCATGTGCCATCGTACTAGGCCTTAATTTTTTTTTAATATTAAAAAAAATTTACATGCTAGGCCTTAAAATATATACATATATATTTTTTGGTCTTTTTGAGACAGGGTCTCCCTGTAGCCCCAGCTGTCCTGGAACTTATTATGTAGAGCAGCTGGCCTTGAACTCACAGAGATCCTCCTGCCTCTGGGAGCACTCTGGGACTAAAGGCATGCACCACCACACCCAGCCTGGCCTTAAAATATTTTCAAAAAAGTTTTAAAAATAGTTTTTAGAAAATATTTTAAAGGTCTGGAGAGTTGGCTCAGCAGTTGAGAGGACTGGCTGGTCTTGCAGAGGACCTGGGAACCGAGCACTCACAGGGAAGCTAACAACCATCAGTTACTACAGTTCCAGGGGAATCTGACACCCTCTTCTGACCTCAGCGGTTAAGCACACTGACTGCTCTTGTAGAGGACCCGGGTTCAATTCCCAGCACCCACAAGGTGGCTACGAACCATCCTTAACTCCAGTTCCAGGGGAATCCGACGCCCTCTTCTGACCTCCGTGGCACTGTAAGACAAGGGTGCACTCACATACATGCACACAATACACTCATACACATAAAGTAAAAATAATAAATAAAATATTTAAAAAATAAATAAAATAATATTTTAAAATAATCTTTGACTGAACAAGATCATTAAAAAAAAATCCCAATGAAACTGTTTTTAGGTCAGATATAGTAGCGTATGCCTTTAATCCCAGTACTTGGGAGGCAGAGTAAGCAGATCTCTATGAGTTCAAGACCAGCCTGGTCTACATAGCAAGTTCCAGGTAAACCAGGGCTACCTTGAGACCCTATCTCCAGGAAAAAAAAAAAGCTGCTTTATTTTGCTAAGAAAATCTGACATTACTCAAGTTTCCAGTAATAACATGAAAAGTTCTACACCAGAATATGACTGTACACTGACTGCACTGGCAGAATAAACTCAAACAGATCCCAGTAAGCAGCTATGAGGAAAAATGTGGACTCCAAAATCATCATAAAGACATATCTTTAAAATCAATTTTTGAAAGATTTGAAACAAGATTATAGCTGGACATCTATGACTTATTAAAGCAAGCATCTTCTGAGAATCCCGTGGAGGTAAGATCCCAGAAGGCTGGATGGAGTCATGCCTCCAATGTTACCAAGAACAAGCAGTTTTCCAGCATGAGAACACAGAGACTGACAAACAGGCATACAATGTTAGTAAGTAAAGTTACTGTATTTTATTTTATTTACCATAAAGTACTTGTACCTCTTCCTCCAGGAGGGGATCCTCAGGTTCACAGATAGGACAACAGTTAATTAGCAAAATTACCATTATACCCATCAAGGGCCTGAGAAACTGCATCCTTGGCGACTGTCTCATAAACCAGGTCCTGGGAGGCGTCATGAAGAACTCCATCCAGCTTGAAGGACCAATCTGTCTGCTGATTATTGACAACTCCCCTCCGAATGTCTTTTTTTAAGTGAATATCAATGCTCTAGGGGGAAAAAAAAAGAGAGATGAGGTAACACACCTGTAACCCCAGCACTTGGAAGGCTGAGTCAAGAGGACCTAGGGTTTCAGGCCAGTCTGGGCTACATAGTGAAACGTGTCACAAAAAGGAGAGGGGGGAGGAATTATTTTTAGGAAACTACAACAAAAAGAATCACTGATAACTGAGGCCTGACTTAGAGAAAAGAGATGCTGGGTGTGGAGACACATGACTTTAATTCTAGCACTTGGGAGGCAGAGGCAGGTAGATCACTGAGTTCAACGTCAACCTGGTCTACATAGTTACAGGCCAGCCAGGGCTACATAGTTGAGAGCCTATCTCAAAAAAAGGCAAAAAAAAAAAAGGGGGGGGGGTTTAAAATAAATAGGGGTGGGTGTGATGGCGCACGCCTTTAGTTCCAGCACTTAGGAGGCAGAGGCAGGAGGATCTCTGTGAGTTCAAGGCCAGCCTGGTCTACATAGTGAGTTCCAGGACAGTTGGGACTACAGGGAAACCCTATCTCAAAAAGACCAAAAATAATAAATAAAATAAAATAAATAGGGACTCCCCTTCACAGGTTGAGATTTTGTTGCAGGAATTCTTTGGGATGGGAGAGGGAAGTTCCTGCAAGGAAGCCACAGGACACTACAGAGAAGATAAAAATGAAACAATTATTTTCAGTATCTTTTATAGGGTGCTATCTGTCTTGGTTTCCCCAGGTATGATATAGGGTCAAGCAAATTTATCAGATTCTTATTGAACCAGATTTAGCTACATTCCCTAATTACAGGGGCCTTTAATAGGCCAAAGTAAGAGTGAATTTGGTGACCAAGGCCCTGGCTCAGGCCCTACCTGTTTGGTTACAGGTGCTAAGACTTCCCCAACCTCTGTAAGGACTATTTCCATATATACTCATGAGCCAATGTAATGATGAAATGACCACATAAAATCTTTCAATTTCTCCAGCACAGTCATTGGTATTAAAGTAAATCGAGGGTGCTCAATTTACTTGTAAATCAGCAGATTTTTAGATGCATATACCTTTATGGTAAGCCAACTGTAGAGCTGGCTTAGGGACATACTGGGCAAAGCCAATTATTACCCAGTAAGAGTCCAAGCTTTTTTCTTTTTTTTTTTTTTTTCTTTTTTCTGAGACAAGGTCCTTTAACCTACTGATTTAAAAAATTTTAAGTGTATGAATGTTGTACCTGCATGTAAGTGTACCACATGCATAAAATGCCCATGGAGACAGGAAGTGGGTATTGGAGCCCCTCGAACTGGTTAAGGACAGCTATTAGCTGTCATGTGGGTGCTGAGTACTGAATCTGGGTCCTCCTCTGCAAGAGCAGCTAGAGCTCTTAACCTCTAAGCCATCTCTCCAGCCCCCTATCACTGTAGTAAAGGTCTATTTTTATTTATGTGTATGTTTGTTGTCTCTGTGTATAGGTACCCTTAGAAGTCAGAAGAGGGTATCAGATTCCCTGGAGCTGGAGTTGCAGGCAGTTGTGAGCCATCTGATGTGGATGCTAGGAATTGAATTCAGGTTCTCTGAAAGAGCAGAAAGTGCTCTTAACCAAGGAGCCATCTCTCCAGCTCCAAGACAGGGTTTTGATATGAAAGTTGGCCTTGAATTTTTGTATTTTTTTTTTTCTCTCTCTCTCAGTCACCCAACTGTTAGAATTACAGTAAAGCACCATGCCCAGTTTATTCCAAGCTTCTTGATGGGAACTCTCCCTGACATCTTCTACTGGCTGCTGTAATCCAAGAACCATGGCAAAGCTACCCAGAAAAAAACAAAACTAAGACCAAGACAGACAGGATTATCAGGTATGGTGATATAGGCCCATAATCACAGCGCTTGGGAGATGAAAGCAATAGGATCATGAATACAAAGTTTTCCTCGGTTAATCAGCTAGTTCAGTGCCAACCTGGGCTGCATGAGACCCTGTCTCAAAAAATCAAAATAAACAACACATATTAAACATTCCTTCACATATTTAATGCTCTATGCTTTTGTTTGTTGAAACCAAATCCGGCAGGGCAGCCTTTAGGTCTTTCCTGACTGCCAGGGCCTTCAAGGCTTGTGCCATTTCCAGTTGAACTATTCTTTTAAAAAAATGTCTACCTGGGGGCCAGCATGATGACTCAGCAGGTAAAGGTGCTTGCCACCAAGCCTGATGACCTGAGTTCGATCTCCAGGACCCTCATGGTGGAAGGAGAGAATCTACTTCCACAACTCCTACAAGTTGTCCTCTGATCTCCACACATGGGACACATTCACACATGCACACACAGGAACAAATGAATGAACAAACAGATGAAGGAAAGGAAAAAAGATGAGACTTATTAACTTCCTCCATAACAACATGGTAAGGTCATGGTTTGGACTTGATAGATTCTAGAGTTCATCTGAACACTTACCAATTCTGTTTTAGTCCTTTTAAAATTTTATTATGTATGGGGCACACATATGTACCATTGTATTTGTGTGGAACTTGGAGGACAACTTGTAGGAGTTGGTTCTCTTTCTACCATGTGGGTCCTGGAGATAGAATGCAGGTCCTTAGGCTTGGAGACAAGCATCTTTCCATGCTGAGCTCTCACTGGCTCCTGTGTCAGTTCTTTTTTTGGTCTTTTTGAGACAGGGTCTCCCTGTAGCCCCAGCTGGCCTGGCTGGCCCTGACCTCACAGAGATCGGCCTGCCTCTGCCTCCCAAGTGCTGGGACTAAAAGCATGCACCACCATGCCTGGTCTGTGTTAGTACTTATATGGTTATTGGGAAACAAAGTCACATTGAATTGAAAAAGGAAGGACCAGCCAGGTGAAGGCAAACACATTGCACTTACTTTATTGTCATCTCCGTATTTGATCATTTCATGAGCAAAGTCATCAGTAGGCTTGACACGTACAAATGCTTGAACCTTTTTCCTAGTACCCGTTTTAGCTAAAGAGAAGAGAACAATATTTTTAGTAGTTATCATCAAATAACAACTAGAAGGGAGAGATGATTCATCAAGATCAGACCAAAAGCTAGGCTAGGTGTATACCTTTAATCCCAATACTTGGAGAGGTGAAGGCAAGTGGATCAGGAGTTCAGGCCAGTCTCAACTACAGAATGAGGACAACCTGGGCTACATGAGACCCTGTTGCAACCTACTCCCCACCACCAAAAGAAGATAAGAATAGAGTGCTAGGCCCTCCATTTTCCTTGTCCTAATGAGAGCCAGAGGCCTGCCTTTTCACATCTCAAGAGTCTCAGTCTCTGTCACTGCCCAACAAGCACACATATTTCCTGCCTTACAGACTGCTTTGTCATTTTCCACCATTACCTCAAAGAGCATGAAATCCAAAGCAAAAAGAATGTTCCCTTTAGTGACCTAATTTTAGCCGCTGTTTCTAGAAATGTTCTGCATCTAAATTGAACCTACTTATGCTTTGCCTCATTTATTCTATTTTCTCCTAGCATACTTATTGTGAAATATATTAAAACTAGTTTCCTGTTCTTCATTAAATACCTGTCTCCAGCAGACTTAACTAGATCGGAAATCAACTAAATATTCTTTTTAAAATTTTGTATTTATTGTTACTATGGTGGCGGGGGGGCACTTACCACACCATGCATGTAGAAATCAAAGAACAACTCTGTGGAGTCAGTTCTCTCCTTCCCCAGTGTAGGTTCTAGAATTAAACTCAGGTTGTCAGTCTTATGCAGCAAGTGCTTTAACCACAGAGCCATCTTGCTGGTCCTAGATTAAGTGTTCTTTTTTAAAAGTTATTTTTAGTTTTTATTCATGTGTATGTGAGCGTCTGCATGAGTGTATGCCATGTGTGTGTGGGTGCCTGCAGAGGCCAGAAGAGGCCGTTAGAACCCATGAAGCTGGAGTTACAGGCAGTTATAAGCCACCTAACATAGGTGCTGGGAATGAAACTCAGGTCCTCTGGAAGAGCAGTAAGCACTTAACCACTGAGCCATCTCTCAAATCCCTAGGTTAAATATTCTTTTGAAAAAAAATTTACTTATTTTATTTTATGTATATAGGTGCACCATGTGCATGTAATGCCCATGGAGGCCAGAAGAAGGTGTTGGATTCCCTTGAACTGGAATTACAAATGGTTGTTAGCTACCATGTAGGTGCTGGGAATTGAACCTGGGTCTTCTGCAAGAGTATTGAGTGCTCTTAACTGCTGAGTCATTTCTCCAGCCCCAGATTAAGTATTATTTTTGAAAAATATTTGATTTATTATTTTTATTTCTTATGTGTATGAGTGTATTACCTGCATGTATGCAATTGCTCCTGTATTGTGCAATCCCAGAACCCACATGGAAGCTAACAACCGTTTGTAACTCCAGTTCCAGGGGATCTGATGGCCTCTTCTGTCCTCCATGGGCATTGCATGACATGGGTGCACTTACCTACATGCAGCCAATACACTCATACACATAAAATAAAAATAAATAAAATATTAAAAAATTAAAAATAAGAGCTGGGTATGGTAGCGCACACCTTTAATCCCAGCACTCGGGAGGCAGAGGCAGGCGGATCTCTGTGAGGTTAAGGCCAGCCTGGTCTACATAGTGAGTTCCAGGACAGCTGGGGCTAACAGAGAGACCTTGTCTCAAAAAGACCAAAAATAAATAAATAAATAAAATAAAATATTGAATTGTGTAATCTTCTAAATGACAACTAGGAAACTGCATATTTTATTAGAAATTAGTATTGTTGGCCAAATCATACTTGGCCCCATCCTTGAAGTACCTGCATAAAAATAATTAATGCTAATTGGACAATAAATTTTAGTTCTAAAATTGACATATAGTGGAAAAGCAAAGGACTGATTAAATAGAAGTGGTAACTCAACTTTTTGTTTTGCTTTGAGACCAGGTTTTAGTTAGCCCAAGATAGTCTTTTAATTTAATTAAATTTATTTATTATTGTGTGTGAATGATGTATGTGTGTAGGCATACATGTCATGGCACATGTGTGGAGGTCAGAGGACAACTTTGTGGAGCTGGTTCTCTCTTTTCACTTTTACTCTGGTTGCCAGGCTTGTATGGTATGTATCTTTACCTCACCCGCCCAAGGGTGATCTTTAACTCCTTGTCCTCCTGACTCTACTTCTGAAGTGCTGAGATTACAGACATGTATTGTGGTGCCCAACAAATTTTTAGGACTTTAAAGGGGACTGGAAATTGATCAACTTTTCAGGAGTCTCATTATTCCCTGCACTTGGGAAGTGGAGGCAGGCAGATCTCTGTGAGAGTTAGAACTTGAGATCACAAATGCCTGGTCTACACAGTAAGTATCAAGTCAGCTGGGGCTACAAGGAAACCCTGTTTCAAAAAGACCACACACACACACACACACAAACCTACAAGCTCTAAAGAAAGCTAAGTAAAAATTTAACTGCAATACTAATTAATTTTGTTAAATCTAACTAAATTATACTAAAAGACCTGTGAAAATATACTAAATAACTTCATTGTTCAAAATGAATGGGAAAATTAGCATAGTAGAGTTTTTGGGGTTTTTTTTGGTTTTTTTTTGGGTTTTGTTTTTTGTGTTTTTTTGAGACAGTGTCTCCCAGTAGCCCCAGCTGGCCTGGAACTCACTCTGGAGACCAAGCTGGCCTCAAACTCAGAGAGATCCGCCTGCCTCTGCCTCCTGACTGCTGGGATTAAAGGCACGCACCACCATGCCCAGTGGCACAGTAGAGTTTTAACTTGTTTTAAGATGGAACATTTTGTGTGGTATATGTGCATCGTAAGTGCACATGTGGAAGCCAGAAATCAAATTGGGGTGCGTTTCTCTGTTGCTCTCTACCTTTTTTGAGGCAGGATCTCTCAGGAGCTCACCATTTTGGCTAGACTAGCTGCCCAGAAACCCCCCAGGATTCACTTGTCTCTGCTCCAGCAGAACTGGGGTTACAGATGTGTACTACATACCCAGCTTTTATGTGGGTGCTGGGGATCCAAACTCAGGTCCTCATGCTTGAGGCAGCAAACACTTTACACACTGAGCCATCTCCCTCACCCCAAGATAGAACATTTCTAAGAGCCAGATGTGGTGGCAGCACCTGTCTGCCTGTAATCCCAGCACTGAGAGGTGGAGACAGGAGGATCAGATGTTTAAGGTCATTCTCAGCTATATGGTAAGTTTGGGTCAGCCTAGGACACCTAAGACTCTGTCCCCCACAAAAAAAAACAACCCCCCCAAAATAAACAAAAACAAAAACAAAACAATTTGGAAGCAATATTGTACAATGTATAAAATAAAATTCGAATAGAGAAAAGGTCCAGAGGGCAGGATATGTGCTGCATTGTACACTTTCCTTTTGATCTCCCGATCAGAGTTCAATAAGAAAGAAGGTGTCTGCCCCCAAAGTAATCAGTACTTTCATTGGAGAGGAGAGATGGCGTAAGGAAAGAGAGAGCTGGGAGTTGTGGCACAAGCCTTTACTCTCAGCAGAGGCAGAGGCAGACGGAGCTCTGTGAGTTTGAGGCCAGCCTGGTCTACATATCAAGTTCCAGGCCAACTGAGGCTACAGGGAGACCCTGTCTCAAAAAAAAAAAAAAAAAAAAAAAAGAGAGAGAGAGCAAGAATAAGAATGTCTAACAGAAAAGGAATAGGGTAAGTTTATAAAGCTAGGGAAACATGAAGCATACGATGCTGATTGAATTTTCTAACAAACTGATATGATCTTTAATAATGTTTAAGACCTTTGTTATAAAACACCGATATCTAAAATAATTTCATATGTAACTTATGAAAAGTGTATTAAATAAGTAATAGTGCCGGGCGTGGTGGCGCACGCCTGTAGTCCCAGCACTTGGGAGGCAGAGGCAGGTGGATCTCTGTGAGTTCAAGGCCAGCCTGGTCTACATAGTGAGTTCCAGGACAGCTGGGGCTACAGGGAGACCCTGTCTCAAAAAGACAAAAAAA